TACAGTAACCCTTACACCATTCGGTCATTGTAAACACAGCCTGTTCTTGGGCCTTTTGCCAAGAACCAAGGCTACAAATAACCTAGTTCTTTAAGTTCCGACCAGTCCGAGCAGATTTTTTAGGGTTTTCAACCCAGAAACACCAACAACACAAAAAACAAAGGATAACCAACCTTGATGGAGAGCTTCAGTCGACCATCCACTTATTTCTGGAGTTGTTCTCTTGAAAGGCAATCAAGTTCTGAGCAGAGAAAGAGAGGCTGAAGTGTTCTCAGACCTAGGTCGAGTCTGTGTTCTCCATTTGCAGTCCAGAGAGAAGAAAAAGAAGTCACGAACAGAAAGGAGCAGCAGTCACGAGCAGAGATTTAAAGAGCAATGTCCTGCTCTGATACCATGTTATCTCAGTGGCTTCAGCAGTTCGAACTAAAGGAAGAAGAAGAAGAAGAAGAAAAGGAACAGTCGAATCTGATAGCATAAACCCTATCAGTTGACCCTAATATGAATTAACCTCTAATTAGTTGTACAAAGACTAAACTGCCCCCCACTTAAGTATGGGACAGGAAGTCTCTATTAAAACTGCCACATAAGCACATAACTTAACAGAAAAAAAATGACTAATCTACCCTTATTCGGCTAGCTCTAACAGCTTGATTGGAAGTGTTTACAAGATTCTAGCTAAACTTCTAGCCAACTGGTTAAGAAAGGTGTTGGACTCTCTAATCTCTAAGTACCAAGGGGCTTTTGTCCACAACAAGCATATTCATGATGTAGTTCTCATAGCAAATGAACTAATAGACTCAAGACTAAGAAGTGAAGAAACCGGACTAATTTGTAAAATTGACTTAGAGAAAGCTTATGACCATTTTAATTGGTCTTTCTTGGATTATTTGCTGAATAGAATGCACTTTGGTTCTAAGTGGAGAAGCTGGATGAAAGTTTGCTTTTCCACTCCAAGATTTTCAGTGCTTGTAAATGGGGTAGCCAAAGGAAACGTCAGCAGTTCAAGAGGTTTGAGACAAGGGGACCCTTTGTCTCCTCTTCTCTTTTTGTTAGTCATGGAAGGTCTATGCAAGTTGGTAGATACTGTGGAGGGGGAGATGGTGGAGGGCTTCCGAGTGAAGCCCAATGGGACTGCCATTCCAATTCTACAATATGCTGATGATACTCTCTTCTTTTGTAAGGCTTTAGAGGAGCAAGTTCAGAATCTGAAACACCTTCTTTTTTGGTTTGAGATAGTGTCAGGTTTGAAAGTAAATCTAGCAAAGAGTGAGATGATAGCAGTGGGAGAGGTTCCAAATATTCAAGGCTTGGCAGATCTGTTGGGATGAAAGGTGGGACAACTACCTTCAGTTTATTTGGGGCTGCCTTTAGGTGCCAAATGTACTTCTATAACCATTTGGAACCCAATAATAGAGAGAATGGATCAGAAACTAGCCACTTGGAAAGCAAGGTATCTCTTCAAAGGGAGGAAGATAACTCTTATTAAAAGTACCCTAGCAAGTTTACCATCTTACTTCATGTCTCTCTTTCCTATCCCCTCGGAGGTGGTGGGAGTTTTAGAGAGGAAGATAAGAGAATTTTTGTGGGCAGGTTGGAAGGATTCACACAAATACCATCTTGTAAAATGGAGTCAGATTTGTAAGCCCCTATCTCAAGGGGAGTTGGGGATGTGAAGTCTATAACCATTCAACCTAGCTCTGCTAGGGAGCTGGCTATGGAGGTTTAATGTTGAGCCTGACAACCTCTGGACGAGAGTAATTGCAGAAAAATATGGGCTGGATGACAGTGGTTGGGGTAGTGGTCCACCCTTGTCGACCTACGAATGCAGTTTGTGGAAAGGAATATGCAGAGCTTCCAACCTGTTCAGAAGGGGAATTGGCTTCAAAGTTGGGGATGGGAAAAGGACCAGGTTCTGGTTGGATCCCTGGACTGGGGAGGAGAACTCTTAAGGAAATGTTTCCCACCCTGTTCAGTCTGTCTACAGATAAAGAGGCATTGGTAGCTGATACCTTTGTCTTAAGGGACAGCACTATTTGCTGGAGTCCAACCTTTAGAAGGGATTTCAATAACTGGGAGATTCCGAAGGTTGGAAATCTCCTAGCTTCGCTTCAGTCTCAAGAGTTGAATCTGCAATCAGAGGATTCCCTAATATGGAGATGGAACAGAAGCGGAGAGTTTTCAGTTAAATCCTTCCACAACTCCATAGTGGGAGGGCCTGAAGCTTTCTTTCCTAGCAAGGATGTTTGGGGGCAGCTTTAGAGAAGTGTCTCTCTAAAGAGATGTTGGTGAAGAAAGGCTTTAATTGTATTGATCTGAGATGTAGTCTTTGCGGTGTGTGTACAGAATCAACAAACCATCTGTTTTTACACTGCAAGTTTGCTACAAAAATCTGGAACCACTTCTTAAGAAGTTTAAGGTTAAATTGGTGTATACCAGCCTCGGTTAAAGCTTGCCTGGAGGGGTAGCAGATCCAAGGGATGACAAAAATTGGAAAGAGGTGCTGGTCTGTTATTCCCCTAGAAATTTTGTGGGCGGTATGGACAGAAAGGAATAGCAGGGTTTTTGAACTCAAATCCTCGTCGGAAGAAGAAGTCATCAATTCGGCGTTAGGCTTTGTTAGAAATTGGTTGTCTATTCTTGCTGACTTTAAAGAGATTACTTCTGACTGTAATTTTTTGAGAATGACATTCTTTTGAGGTCCTGCTGGCTTTTTGTACAGATTCTCATTGTACAAAGGACCTTTTCATTAATATAATTATACTTTACCTTTTTCTAAAAAAAAGGATGGGTTGCCTTGCGATATCAAATTCAGGGTTCAATCCAACCAAGAACACAAAGACCCTATTCTTCTCCACAAACTTCTGATAGGTTGCTCAATCCTTCGTACTGTCCCAGACCATAATCTCTAAGTGATCTACCTCCTACAAAAGTGTTTTCAGCATGGAGAATACATAGCAAGTGGTCTATCTTCCTGTTTTGTATTAATCACCTGATTCCTTAACTGATAGGCTCTGGCCACATTTTGTTTATGGGAATAGGTTTCAGTCACTCCATCCCAAATTGCCTTTGCAATATTAGCCCACAAAAAATTTTTAGCAACGTGAGGTAACATAGAATTACACAGCTAGGACATCACCATGTAATTCTCCTATACCCACCGGGAAGAATCTGTATCAGGTTTCTTCTCCTCCCTAGTTTCCCACGACTACCAATGGCCATCTTGGCTGATTGTGCCCATTCTAAGTAATTTGTACCATCCAATTTTACTATGGTAATAATTCCAAACCCAAAAGAATCACTAGTTTCACACACAAGGGTAACAAACATTTCCAAAAGAAGAACCTATCTAGAGAAAATCCCTTTTCTCCCACCTTCTCCTACCAAAGAGAAAAGTGAATTGATCACTCCAGAAGGCTCAGAAACTGCCAGAAACCAAGCCGCCCCCTATATAAAACCTAGAGAAGTCCAAAAAAGTCCAATTGCCCAATATCATATAAAAAATAAAGAGTCCAACTTGAATAGGACTCTTCCCCTCACTCCAATTCTTCTTGATTTTGATGCCAAAACACAGATCACCCTCTTGATGACTGAAACCCACCAAAAAAACCAAGAAGTGGGCAGCCTGAAGTAGATTGATCAGCCCTTTTATTTCATCATGCAATCAACTGATCTAGGACTGCATGGAAAAACTCCAAAAAAAAAACTAGTCTTGATCTAATACCAAGTATAAAACTGTTGAGTCAAAGAATCTGTAAAGAAAAGAGATGTTTCTTGAGGAAGAAGAGAAAGAGAAGATAAGAGATTGAGAAAGAAAGACAGAGCAAATCAGTTCTGGCTGCCCTCCCCACTAGTGTTTAAACTTTTAATTAAAAGAAGGCTACAATGATTAATATGCCCTTATTGGGAGGTTAACACATAAAATTGCATAAATAACTTTAAAGAACCACTCAAAAGGGACCCAACAAGTGTGTTGTGGTCCCCACTTCCTATCTAAACAAATTATAAACAAAAGAACTACTAAATCTGCCCAAAATCCTCAACATAACCCATCTAAAATTAAGAGCTATATTTCTTTGCAAGTTGGTCAATCTATCTGAAAATAAATCCAAGTTTCCAGGGTGCTGACTCAATTTTCTTTGCCCATGTTATGACCAAAAGGGAGTCTCCTTCAATTTCCAATTCTCTTGCCCCTATTGTTCAGCAATCTTCAGTCCTTGCAGCAGTTCTTTAGATTAAGCCTAAACCGAGTCACCAAAACCAATTGGTCCAGAGCACAAGGCCATCACTACTCCTTGATGATTCCAAAAAACTCCCCCTATTCCTTCTCTTTCTGGATTTCCAAAGGAACTGCCTTCAAAGTTTAGCTTTAGCTTATTTAAGCCTGGTGGTTTCCACTCCATTCTTACACTTTCTCTATGTGGTTCTGAGATTGCCACTTCTCTCCAATTTCTTAAGTCATCAGTAGGAATACTCTTGAAGAGCTGCAATGTTTTAATTAGGTTATGAAATTATTTGTCAAGGTGTTTAGACACAACAACATTCTTACTGGATTTCATTTCTTATAATGCAAAAAAGGATCTGGCTCAAACAGTGGAACTGCATAACATGATTCCTGTAGCCAATAAAATTTAGTTGCAACAGGACTTTGTTGAATTTAGTTTTGATCCAAAAGAAGCTTGAATCAAGTAAATGAATATTTTTAATTATCATTCAATTGATATTTAGGGGAAATCTGTCATTTAGGTGTACAAAACAGAATACAATATAATAATATTTACCAAAAACAACATAGTATGCTCCAAATAAAGTTATACCCAAAGTTCCCAAAAGCAGTACAATCTCAATGATACAGATAATGTTTAATTCTAGGTAGCACCTTCAGTCCAGTGGTCTGGCATGAAGTATACATGTAATACTGGGAAAACCATGAATAATACATCTTCCCCATGAAGAATAATGTATTTCAAGGTCCATGTGCTAAGTTAGCAACCACCAAGATATTACCTGAAGAAAGGACTCTCTATTGATGTACTTTGGTTAACGAACTCTATTGAGCCTCCAATATCACAAGTTATATCCGAAATGCCAACAAGTGGGCATCCATTTCTCATTAACTCTTGAAGTTGCTTGGTGCTTAACAACCGGGGGAACCTTTTCTCCCAATACATGCAATTGACTGTTTCAGAACAAAAACAGAATTGTTTATAAGTATGTCAGTATAGTTTCACAAACATGGGTTAGAAAGGTAAAAAATCAGACTAACCCCTATAGTAACTTAATCCCAGAGCATTGGCACCACATCTTGGAACACTATTTTTTGGGTATCATCTTTTAGTAATTCCATTTTTTGAGACTATATAACAAATAATGTAGATTTTTTCTAATGATTTATCATCAAGAGAACAACTTTTTCCTAAAATTTTATAACAAAGTTTATTAAAATCTATTGTATATGTTGAAGATTAATTAGTTTTATGATGTTTTTCTGAGTAGATGTTTATGTTAGTTGTTAGATAGGAGGTGGGGACCAAAGTAGTTATGTGAGT